GTCTATATATATATATATATATATATATATATATATATATATATATATATATATTTATTTATTTATATATATATTATTCATTTATCATTACGATTTATAAAAAATTAATTTTATTATTATAATCCATCAAGCGAAACGTATCGGCTCTATTACATATATAGTTTATAAATCACATAAATCACGTGAATAATGTACTATTTTGCATTAATTTAGTATCGTTTTCGTTACCTTCCTTCACAGTGGGCCTAGTAGATCCCATAGCCGAGTTCAAGCACACGCTGACGAGAAGGATGAGCAGTGTAGTATCCTTAGTCATCCTGCTGTCCACAATAATTATCCAAGTCACAATAGAGTTATAATCGAGCTAATGCCGCCACAATAGTGAGTGTTCCTCTGACTCTGCAGTGTGCCCCGCGACAAGAGCGATTGATTGTGATATAGTGACACAATAGGCTTGCGACTGACTGTGTTCCAAACTACTTCGAACGATCTGATTGGTGGTTAGAATTACTACAAAACAAGAGCTATGACTGGTCGGAAGTAGGCCTACTTAGGAAAGTGTTCGTACGCAGAGCTTTACTCACGAGATAGGCGGAGCCATGTCTTTGGTGGGCGGGGTATTAACATTTCAGACAGCGGTACAGTAATGTTATTATTTTTTTTTTATAAAGCTAGTCAATGAAATTTACAACGCCACAAGTTGATTAATTTATTTTCGTCAAGCTGAATAGTTTCTCAGGCGCATAAGGCTTAAAATTATTCAACAACAACTATTTATACAGTAATTTAATTTCTTTTTAATGGCATCATTAACAAGAATAAGTGCAAGTTATTAACATGCATGTTGGTGATGGTGTGCAGTAATTATGATCTGTTATGTTCTATATTTAAGGTTAGAGTTGAAACTCTACGGGTCTTTCATACCAATAGGTGGATTCAAGCCCCCCACCCCCTAAATTTTTCGAAATAAAAAAAAATTGAGAAAAAAAGAAAATTCTACTCAAATTTTGAGTCTAAGAGTCTCATTTCCTGCCACATAGGTTAATCATACAATTTCTTACCTCAGCCCCAACCATGGTGGGGCTGATGTAGTATAGACCCTCAATCTGTAAAAGTCCCTCTTTGGGCCACCTCTGTTTCAAGATCTGCCACAGATACCAGCTAAGCTTTAGACTTCCATCCTAATCATAACCTGTTAATTGAAGTACTGTACACCTCGGGCTCTAACCCGATAGTGTCGACTAACGCCCTTTGCTCTTGAATAGTTACCAGCGTGTCAGTAGGTGGGCCTATTACTTTAATGTCATACTTAGACCTACCTCATCATACTGCATTGTTCTCATACAGTAAGGTATTAAAGGTATATACACAATCTGGACTGTAATAACCAACCAAAATCTGGATTCAAGATGTATGAAATAAGAAAATACCGATTTATCATCGTAAAACGCTTAATGGCGATGTACCACATTGTTGACCCAGTTTTTAATATATATTTTTTGTTATTTTCCAAAAAAAATAGCTTATAAACATACGGTAGCGCTTATGTACGCTGTAAAGTTTTTTTCCTTATATAATATTCGTCGGACTTTGATCCAAATAACATCCATGTTTTTACAATATAAAAGTATGTAACTCCTGGTGATTTTCTTATAGTTTAACTTGAAACTATGAAACAGGCTGGAACCCAGAGAAATACATTTATAGGATTATAGGATGCGCGTGCATTCTCACACATCGTATGTTTCTGTAACTTTATTGGTCACGTATTTAAACAAAAATTATGCATAATTAATTGGTCAGATAATGAGACAAATAGATACGGTATTTATACAATCAACCAACTCTTGACATTATAGGATGCGCGCGCGACTCAAACATTTACATCCTCCATTATGATTTTTCTGCAACTTTAATTTATCACGTTTTATAACAAGAACCTAGGTATTTGTAGTATGCAAAACTAATTGGTCAGATAATCAGATAATAAATAGATAATTATACACAGTCAAACCAATTAAAGTTAAACTACCGATTGGACGTGACAATACAATCCGAAAACATTAGAAAGGAGACCAGTATTCAAAGATGTTCGACTTTTAAGACATTCTTAGATAAAGCGACGACGGCGTATAATCGACATGTACTGGTTAAGATGACCACGCAAGTATATAATAAAACCAAAATGTTCTCCTGTGTTATGACTATAAAAAAAAACCGGTGTGAAACGGCACGGTATTTCACTTTGGTATTACAGATGGTGAGCGTCGAGTGAAACCAAGTCCAGAGGTTTCAGTGGTTCAAACTTTAAGGTCGCCTGATGAAGCCATGGGATATTGATGAAATTAGGCTGGTGTTGAATTAGCAACACAACAAGAAATCATTCCCGGGAAGCGGAGAGGTTGCGCTTGCTTGATTGATTCTGTTTCCATGACCGACTTATAACCTGCAGGGATAAGGCGCTATATAAGCAACTAAAATTATTATTATTAATAGGCTTATAATTATTAAAACATGTTCTACAATTTTCAAATCATAGACTCGCACTTCACTCAATGCATGAGTGGTTTTACAGGCTCTTTTTATGGTATATTAGTGTCGATTTACCAATTTTATTAACACTTTACCAGGCACGGTAACGGGTTGATGACATTTGATTGTTTGATATTTACGGAGGTGTATTATTAGACCTATAGAATCTGGTAGGCCTATAGGCCCATTGGTATTTATAAAGCCTCGGTACGGTACTGTACTACGGTACCGATTTTGTCCAGTATAACAGTTCATATAGCGTAAAATTGAATTTTACACAGACTGGACGGATTTTTGGATAACCCCAAACTTTCCATTTGATGGATTACCCCTAGAATTGTAATAATTGTATATTATTTGTTTTAGACGTCTTTTTACAGAATATGCACACCACACCGATACCCAGACAAAATGACCCAGGGCCAGTTATAACGAATACTCTTGAGCTCAGGTCCAAAATTAGGCCTACCAGGGGAAATATTCATAAACCAAAGCACAATAATACGCAAGAGATATTGTGTGCGTACTACAGATCCGATATTGTATTTTCATCTGTTTCTCTTCAAACCATATCTGACAATATGAACAAAGCAGTCAATTAAATAGTGTATACCCATGTAAATGTCGAGTACATAGCCTAATTGTTTCAATGTAGGCCTATGTTTATTTTTATAGCGCAGCTGGAAACCTTAATTCACACCGTCAAATTCTTAGGCCATGCCTAACTAACCATGGAGTAATAGACTTCGTGATTAAAACTGGAAAAATAGAAAATGAACTTAAGGGGCACCCTTCATCTGCCAGGTGACAGGAGCTGGTACGGGTTCGACATTGATCGACGATGCCCTTCGGCGGGCTGCCAGACCTTAATATCTGTGGTTTTGATTTATATAATAATATTGCAATACGGTGTCAGTTGTAATGACCTGTGAATTTATAAGCACGTGTCGTGAATTATGGGTGATCCCTTCTCAGAAGGAGGACGTGGTGTAATCCCGAGAACTCATGGATTTAGACAGTGAGGAGAGCTCATATTTGGCAAAAGTCTGAATCCCGATGCAGTAGCAAATGTGCTAATGATTACCAACGAATGCAGGCCTAATTCTATGGTAAACGAAGTATTTATGTATTGAGAGCTTAAATTCTGTAGGCACATTTCTTTATATACTGTAACCCTTCCTGCATTGTGATGTTGTTCTCCATCTAGTTTATCATACAAGTACAACTACCCATTCATTCCCCCATCTATAACCGCGCTATGTTTTCAAGTTCCATAGCGATACTGTTTCCAGCATATTGTTATATAGTGTTCAGATAAACACCAAAGAATAACCTTTGATAAATTTAATGTTGATGCTGCAAACAAACTGTTTTGATAGTAAACATTATTACAGGCGATTCTGTAAATTTGGATTGCGATATTTGTGCCATGTGTCTTGGTATGTCAACCTCCTTGACCTTGTGTTTAGTTAGCTCGAAGTATAGACCCTAGTAGTAATCTAAAATATTATTTTATATAGAATGCCCCATGGCTTTATATTAACCGTCAGGCCATCTTCGCAATATACGGTTGCGTAGATACTTCCTCTGCTAGTGTCTTTTTTCTTCGTCAACTTGTAGGCCTATATAATAATCGAGTGTTTGTGAATAGTCAGGACCTTATTCAAAGACAATGTATTTACGGTACTGTAGTTTCAAAGTCGTTTGTATGTTATACATTGAATATATCCTAAATAAATATTTTGCAAATAGAAAAAAAGCGAAAGCGCGAATTTATGCCCGTTGTGTGTCCGCATATAATATTAATAATATCCACCATGTGTAGGCCTACCAGGAATGAACGTTAGGTCTTCAACCTTGGAGGAATAAGTTGAGACATACAACTTTCGATTATTTTCCGTATGGTTAAGATTATCGATGGTAGGCCTAATTATTAATATGATGATAAATTTTGTAGTGTTTGTTATAATGTGGGGGGGGGGGGGTTTGATGCTTTTATTGAGCGGCAATATGACCACTAAAGTATAATACCCCGTTGTTAAATATGTCTTTCCCACCATACCGTGTACTTTATATAAATATAACTCTTAGATAGTATCACCACGTCACGCATTGCATTATATTGCCACAATGAACTATCTATCCTACATGTTTATAGCCCTACACAAAGAGACAATCGGGTACAGTATCTAAGCATTTATGTTTACAATAACACTTTTCTTTTCTTCCCAGTTTTACAAATTCTTATTATACTTTTATCTTGTAATTTGTAGGCCTTGTGCCCAGGCGGCTCGTTATCAGTAAATTCATCTCGATTTTATTAGCGTTCTCAGGCCAGTTGCCGGAACTATTTTAGCTGGCATTACAGGAAACCCCTATTTTATACAACCAAGGGAATCGACATTCTAGCTCTTTTAAGCCAGCCTCTGTCCAGATTATCAAATTTTATTTAACAAAAATATGTGACATGACTAAATATGGTTATGATGACATCACATGCCCATATATAGGCACATCATTACTATTATAATGGGCCTAGGCTACAACAGTATTTTGTCAAATAAAATCTGATAATCTGGACAGAGCTGAACGTATAATTAATATCCAGACACCACAGCAATAGGCCTAATATAATAATACATACACCACCACCCCCCCCCCCCCCCCTAAAAAAAAAAGGAAAAATGCAACGTTGCTCATTTACGATTCAAACCGATGCACCGTTAATAATAACAGTTACTGTAAAACAGAATAAATGTATAAACACGAAAAATAGTTTATTTACAATTTTAAAGATCAAATTATTGAATAAAAACTTCCTGTATCTGGATTAGTTGCGTACCGTTAGTTATTTTGTTGTTGTTGTTTTTTTGTTTTTTTGTTTTTTTTTGTTTTTTTTTTTGCAGTGAACGAATCTGCTGGTATACTATACGTTATACAAAAACGCATAAGTACAAAACAGTCTTATAAACAAAATCAGTTAACTTATACAAACTTATTGGCTTACGTGCTTTTCAGTGTGACTGTTTATTAGTCAACGTGATCTGAAAAATATAATCGAATTTTCAAATCGATCGGTGACTTCTTTAATTACAAGATTCAAATTAGACATTAGGCCTATATCAATTACACTTCAATGCTTTGATGAACATCAGGTGCGAAATGATATTGATTAATGATTGAATGGCGTCATATTCCGGTATATTATTGTCATGTTAGCTTGTATTGAGTATGATATTATTCTCATATCAATAAGTTGTGATCGACGTACCTGTCAATCATACACTGATCGTTTTCGATTTTTTGTTACTTTTAAGTTGTTGGACCTCCTGTGAAGAGTATTGAACGGTTGCTAATACTCCGCAACGGAGGAATATTGTAGCATTATGGTTTAATCATGGAGAAAATAATGGTTTAATGTTGTTTGTATTTTATTCCTTATTTCATTTATAATTTCTTAGTAGGCTTAGGAAGGCTTATAATAAATTACAACGTTACTGTAATGGCTCAACCCTAAATGGAAATAATTTTTTTGCTGTTCTATCAGCAATCCTCCGTCGTTTTACATTGGAGTCGTCGTTTTTCATATATTATATAAGTTATACTCTGACTTTGTTCTCCATTACAGTATTTTGATATTTGACAAAATATATGTGGGATATGATATACTCTGTCGGCATCTCGCACGAGGATCTTCTACAATCCATACCTCGGTGTGGCTTCGTTTATTAGGCGTACGTGTACAGTTAGCCTGAGGCTGTGTCTACAATCGAAGGATCCTTGCGTGGTCAAGTGTAAGGCTGACGACCTGAGTGTCCGGAGTGTGACACTTTAGGATCCAATACAATTCTTCCCATCAAAGGTCCGTAAAAAGCGGGGACTTATATTTTTATAATTCGTCCTAACCACATTTTCAGGCGAACAACCCCCTCATACCTCCACTGATAAATCAATTTTCCTTCCTATTGCAAAAAGTATCAATATGATTTTGAAATTAGCATCATGATCATTATACCATTACCACAATGTTATAATTCTCACTAATATACTGACCGCCATGAGTATTAAATTAAAGTATAGCTAGCTATTTTTTGCGTCATCAACAGGTCCCTCTCAATCTGTACTATAGTGTGTAGGTCACTGGCCTTTAGAAAGATGGGTCACTGCGATTTGATTCCCATCACTCATCACCCATTGTCAACATCATCAACGACTTCGGTCTTCCCCGCCGGCTATCTTTTTTCATCTTGGCATTAACACAAATAATTTATCGATCAAAACTCGAATTCTGATATCGCCCAATGAATTTTAAGAGAATTTATGTAAACCTTTTAACCGGGTCTCATCTGTCGTCTGCTTGATATGACACAACTTGTCAAAGTCAAAATTACTTCCAGATTTCGCGAGAATCATCTTCAATACCCATGTAACCTGGATGACCATGGGTCGTCTGCAGTTATGACACTGTACAGTATGTTATATTTGGAACGACATTTGGGCCTTATAAGCAATTCGTATACACACTCAGTTGAGTGTGGTAAAGGATTGGAGACCTAAGTAATGTCTGATTATCAGTGATAATCTTATGATGGCCTGTTCATACGTGACCAACTGCAGGCATTTAATATTTTATATTGTCTCTGAAAAATAATCAAGTGATAAATTTCTGGGGTTAAAAGGTGAATTATTCTACTTGAATGATATCAGGTGTTGTGTTGTGCGGTATTCTTGAGCGTTTTAATGTTGAATTATTGTAACAAAAAATGATGTTTTATGAGGAGATTCATTTCATCCCGAAGCGAAAACTCCAAAATAATAATAATAAGCCTCGACTGAAGATTTGACATAAACGAATCGCATCCTATCTTTTCACACATGACCCCTTTATTTTTATAGCTAAAAAGTTAGACGTGATACCATGGGGAAAGCTAAGCAGAGGGACCAGCCAGGAAAGTTGAAGATAGGAACCAGTAAAGGGAAAGGAACAGGACCGACAATGAAAGTCTTCAAAGTATCTAATCATAAAGTAGTGAAATCGCAACAGATGAAAGCAAAGTCAGTTTCAACTAATTTAAAAAGGGTAAGGTACAGTAGAGCATTGGGAGAGGGGTCTCGGAAACACTCACGTCATGGCGGCCTAAATCTGCATTCACATCGGATCCGCGTTTCCGATGCGCTGAACGCCAGCGTCCCCTACACACTGATCCGATTTTATTGGCTCAGAAGGCTTTCCTATCCGAAAATTCGGATTTGGTGTGAATGGAGCTTAACGCACCAGCATTTACTTTAAAGGTATATATTCGGCCTATTCAAATTTTAATCAATTATTTTATATAATTTGATATACAACGCTAAACATAAAATTTAACGGTAGTATACCGGTATATCATTTCCAGTTAAATCTACAGAACAAAGCCCAAGTGAAAAGCAACAATGATAAATTTGTCCAACTCCAACAACAAACTGCGCAGACGAAGAAACAAGAGCCACATAGCGCAAAACCAAAGGTAAGGCTAATGTATAGACAAAAAAACAACATTACATTATGTGATAAAAGCCTCTTAATATTTTCACGATATTCATTAAAATAATGTTCTATATAACGATGTTGGACTTTGTTTATTGTACAGTATATTTATTAAAATATGTAGAGACTTATTCGATGCTGCTTGCAATTGAGAGAGCTGAATATCCCAAGATGAAAAATAGCTAGTGCAGAACCGACGTAAACGGAAATGTCAACACTTGTTAATTAAAACTAAGGATATCTGATTATGCGATCTAGGTCAAAAATTTTCAAGTACTAAGATTGTTGTTGTCTTGTCCATTATTTTCCAATCATGTTTTATTTTATTGTTAATTTTTTTTTCTCTTTCGTTAGAATTTCACCCACCTTTATTTCTTTCTCTTTTTGTTACTATTCTATTTTTTTTCTGCCATCAAAGACATAGGAATATATATATATCTGTCTCTTATACACATCTAGATGTGTATAAGAGACAGGTACTATAGTGTGTATCTAAATGATATATATTTTGAAATACACCCTTTACACACATACACGTATCACACTCATTATAGTCTACACATCCTCAATTTCTTAATATTTTTTTTCTTTCTTTCTCTTATGTACAAAACAAAGAGATTTATTTTATTGTAAATTTATTAGGCCTAAGAATGCTGATATGTAGGTCAAATGCATATGTTTCCCTACATTAGTAAAAAAAACCAGGGAACAGTTCCTGTAAAACGTACACTGTAGTAAAATATTGAATCGTTTGATATTATGTACTCAACTCGGTGAGATAAGTAGACCTCACTCATCATATTGAAACGTATCATAAGATATTATGTACAGGTAATGCTATTTTTGTGTTAACATGGGAGTATTCTCCTCTCGATAGAAGCTGAGTGGTATTAGCTTTCTGTTTATTTCTGCGCGGATTAGGAGATCGTTTTCCAACTCGTTGATAGGGCCTACTTGTGACAACAAATCTTTTCCCAGTCTCCGTTGTCTGTCAAACCACGTTATATCCAGTTCCGCACACTCAAACCCGGTAATTTGGGCTTAAGTCAATAAATACTTAAAAGACGAAGTGAATGGCGGTTTTAACGATTCAAGTAACCGAAAGAATTTTTAAATAAACAACAATTTTAATTGGCCACTTATGCGAGAATTATTGAACATAGGCTTATTGTTTTATATGTAGTTCTGCTGGGAACAACTTAACAATCGTAAGTCGTCATAATAATTAAATATTTCTTTGGTAATTAATTCGACAGAAGAATACCGTAGAAGTGTTTTAAATTTTTCGGTTGGAATCGACCGAATAGCGAGAATTATTTAACATAGGCTTATTGTTTTGTATGTAGTGCTGCTGGGAACAACTTAACAATCGTAAGTCGTCATAATAATTAACGATTTCTTTGATAATTCGACAGAAGAATAGCAGTGTTTGAAATTTTTCGGATGGAATCGACCGAATGCTTCGGAACCTACGTGACGAGGGTGGTATCATTCGTGCTCAAAAACTGTAAAGCGGACTACCGTAGTAGCAAATGTGCGACAGTAAATCACACGGTTCAAACCAAGTTATGTTTACCCCGACAATCGTGTTGCCAATCGGTATAAATCCATCTCCTTATCATTCAATCATACTGTCCATTTTTTACATGATTTATAAAGCTCATAACTTCTGCTTGGATTGTCGGCATTCGGATGACACAGAATATTGTCGGGATGTTCAGAAGTATGCAGAACAATCTATTTCTTGTGTGACGAATAATGTGCAGGTCTTTGATGCTACAGTATTATACTTTTTAAATTTACGACCTCCGATGAAGGATGAATGCTTTTTCGCGTTTTACAAAGTCTAAGCCATGCAACCAAATTTGAAATCGGCAAAATATTGTTAAATAAATAATCAATGATGAATAAACTGAATGATTATTATCTATTTTAAAGTACAGTAATTCTTTTATTGTAAGTTTAATTCCAAACAATATTTGAAAACTTGCTTGGTTTCAACAACACTATTAAAATCATTGACTTAATATGCCCATATCCCTTTTTCGATTATATGAAGTTATATAGGCCTACATAATTATTACCACACTTGTGTTTTTCTCATTTGTTTTGTTGTCCCAGGTCTAAGCTCGAGTACAGTATTTGTGTAGCCACTTCAGTGGTTGGTTGATTGACTTCCCCATCCCTCCTATTTCCCCTTCCTTTTATGGCTATCATGATTGCTATTATTATCTTTAATTTATTTTTAGAATCCAATTATTGATGAACTAACGCAATCTGTGAACATGGAAGAAGCAGTAGAAGGATTTGCAAAGTTGTGAAATGAGTGATTTGTTGGATGGTTGCAGTGGACAAACGGATTGCGTAGCATTGCTCTTAAATCGTGTTCATTTAAATTTCACTAACATTCAAATGGAAGATGAACTAATTAAAATCAATTGGGAGTATTCTTGAACGATATCCAATAATCGAAAATAAACTCAGGGACGCAGTAAAACGTTAGAAAATTGCTTTATGTGTGGTGTACATTTAATGCAACAGTTAAACAATAATATGCGTTTCAATATTTCAAAATACTCTTTGATTTGCATTATGCGATTCCATATTTTAAGTTGAAGAATACAATGAGGCATCGTATGATGGATGTAAAATATGAAGAGTAATTTATCAAGTAGTTTCTTGGTATGAGCAATTGACAAATCTCATTTTATTTAGTTAAGAATTTTATTTTATATTTTTGTTGCTTTTTGGTCACAATATATTATTTTGTTTACGTTTAGATGCATCGTTCGGTTACGTGTGACACTGTTTTAAAAGTTTTACCCAATAAATATTGTATTATACAGTGTTAGTATAATACAAAGTGAAACTAATGATATCACTGAAGTGATAGTAAAGTTTTAATTAGGTAGAAGTTTGGTTTGCATCAACTGTCTTCACTGAAGCAGGGGTGGATATGAATGTTTTACATTTAGGCCTACGAGCAATCTACTTTGGATGAATAAATATTACTTAGATCTACCCCTTCCCTATTTAGCCAAAAATATCTTGGCATCGAGTTTTACAAGGGGAAGGCTCAGTTTTGGGATATATGTTGATGGGTGATGTGGAGGAGGGTGGACTTGCCACGTAGTTAGCTTCAATTTTATACAATTTTTAGAGATATAGCTAAGGTAACAATTACTTTTAAAATAGTAGGGGTGAGGGCGTTGTCAGCTGGTCTTTTCTTGAATCTGCCCCTGACTACCTCCATACCATCCCTAATTTGTTTTTAGCATTCACTTATTATGAAAGACAAAGGAAATTCAACCAATACATTTTAAAGTCTGTTCATATATTTGGTTTATTTCATAAATACCAGAATTCATAATTTGTACATACGGTATATTTGGTACTACTGTATATATATTGTCAACACTGTACAAAATATAACTATAAATACATCTCGCCTACATATTATACTGCACACATTCTGAAATGGTGAGCTGTTCATAATTTCCTCTTTTTAATTATGCAATTAATTCGTCTACTGCTATTCAACTCTACTCATTTCCTTCCTTTGTAAATACGATAATGACCATCAGATTAGTAATTATCTAAATAACCAAGATAATTAATAAACTGTACTAGTATTATTATTATTATTATTAAGTAGTACAGTATAATAATAATAATAATATTATTATTATTATAAAGATAATATGATAAATAGTATAACGGTAGTAATTATGCAGTTTGTTGCATCTGCTCAGGGTTAAAACTGCGCAGAAATTCTTGTACAGTTTTAAAACCACACAGTTTCAATGGACTAAATTACATACAGTATTGTCTTAAACCCCTGCCACATTGAAAACAACCGAAATATATACAGTACATCAACTTGTGCAAATGTAACTGCATGTAGTATATACTTCAGTACGGTATATTTTCATGCAGTCTGTTATAATAATTGCATTAACAGTGTTCTAGTTTCACTTCTGTTTGGCAAGCACAGAAAAGCACTTGGGAGAACATTACTGCAACCATTTTGATCATGTTCTATCATATCTGTCATTTTCTAAAAGTCCGAGACAGGATTTGTCATTTACAGACATGCTGCATATGGTGCATTCTAAAAACACTTTAATGCAAAAAAATTATTCATTTAAAAGGGTTACAAGGGAAGGGGAAGATGGCTTTTCATGGTTTATAAAAACATTTTTTCTCTTTACCAGTCCCTAACCATTTTTTTTTATCATGTAAATTTTGGTTCAGTCAATCAATCTATCAATTCCTTTTATTTCTGACAATGTCAGTACCAAATGAGATATACAAAACAAATGAGATTGAAATTGAGAAATCAACTACCAAATGCATAAACAAAGAACATAGATAGATGGGATAATTTCTTGAATAAATAAATTAAATAAAATAATTAGACTTGTATCTAAACCGTTCATTTTGTTGAACATATTTAAATTGATTACCAGCCAACTTAAATGTCTACGCAAGGAACACAAGAACTGTGTTACTATACTGTATTTATGGTGGTGATGATGATGGGCTATGAAATATTCTCTTTTTCTTATGGACCTTTCCGACGTGTCAATTAACAGAGTATGCGAGTGTCCTACATACACACGTGTTGCCTCACTAACGTGTGTTTATGTACGTTTACGCTGTTGTTAAGTGGGATCTTAGCAACAGTATCCAAGGGAGGGGTTAGCGGAAAGGTCATTAAAAAGCTGAATATACAATGTATGAAATTTAAATATTGTATTTTATTAGCCAAACATAGAGAGTATATCTTTCAGTATTCACCTGACCTTAAACAGTATCTCCCTATCATCTCATACTTATCCCATCCTCCCTGTCTCTGCTCAAACAACCCGTTTCCTTTAGTAAATACTTGACAATCAATCTGCTTTAATAACCTTGATCTTGGTCTAGTCATAATATAAACACCCTTAAACCTTTATAAACTCTAACCAATCATTTCCTATTCCTATGTAAAATGAGGATCGATCTATTATAAATGATTCATGATAACCTCTGAAGAATGTTATTAAATCTAGTGTTATACAAGTAATAAGGTGCTATAAAAGTCCATTTCCATTCCTACCCTTGCATTTTATATTTTATTTTGGCAGATAAATAATAATGATAAAAAGCATTTACGTATATTTATATGATAAAATATTTACGCACCATCGATCTAGGCAAGTCTATTCGGAAGGACAGTAACAAAGAACAAATATAAGTTTATAGATTTCTTAATTGCAATGGAAGAACAACCATGCAAAATGTTTGATAACTTGGGTGTGTGGCTGCATAAAATGTACGGTCTCTGTATGAAGTTTTAAAGTTCAAGTTTATATCTTATGTTCATTGATCAAAGAGGGCAAGAGGAGGTCAGTAAAATTGGTTGATGGTATTAAAGGCATTAAGATGAACACACCTGACTAATCCTATGTTGACACCCGCTATAATACAGACGACCTTCAGAGGCCTTAACATAAGTCCCCTGAGAAAGGCAGGATAACAAGAGTGTATGTATTATTTTTTTTTAAATTGGGAATTGCAAATTCCACATGGATTAGTAGTTTATTTTTCTCTGGATCTGTTGATGGAATTGGTATAGCCATAACACCGGTTCTAATAACTACCATTATAATATCATGCGAATTACAAAATTAACAATATGACTACCAGCGTATATAAGAGGAAAGCACAACAACCATTAAGCTGTATCAAAAAATTAATTTTAATTAAATAAATTCAAATTTGGCGAGTAATTACAAGTAGAACTGCCTCTAAGACAGATAAATTAAGCTATATCAAAAAATAAATTTCAATAAATTAAATTCAAATTTATCAAGACAGATAAACTCATTATTGCGTGTCACTCAGCGACATGAGTTTTACACAAAGTTAAAAGTGTTTGTTGTCATGACGTCATATCCTGTTGAATGTCAGAGAAGGCTTGGGTCAGTCGATGCAGCTTGCCTTCCATGACTTTCTTCTGATTGGCTGTCTCAAGCAACAGTTGTCTCATCTCTTCTTCCACAGACAAAACCTGAACCAAAAAAAAAATTAAACCTATCAATTCACCAGACAACATTCCTAATAAAATAGGAAGTATAGTGTGATAGGCTTCCCACTTATGAGTTATTAACTATAAAGAACTCCCAAGTCTGTCTATAAATAACACAGAAATATAAATTTTTTTGATAATTTTTCCCTGATTAAATCTATTTTTGATGTTAAATATTGTAAACATCTTAAGTTGCATTTTAAATATAGTTTTTGTTTAAATCATGGTATCTGTGATAGTGTTAAATATTTTTTTTGGTATTTAACAATTTTGAAAGTACAGTATTGTAATGTGTCCAACAAACAAAAGGTACCTTAGCTTTAGCCTCATTAATTTGCTGTTGTTTCTCAGCCTTCAACTGCTCCAATTGTTCTTCATGTTTTCTCTGAACCATCGCTAACTGGTTGGAAAATGCATCGTCCATTGCATTAATCTTCTCAAGTGCAACTCTGCAAGTAAGGGAACTATCAGTGAAAACTCAGTGACTGCAACACAGAGGCCTCAACTCTATGAATGAGGCAGGGAAGGGGGAGGGGAATAATTTTTGATTGGCACAAGTGGAGCAACATCATTACACAGTTGACTTCACAAGGAATATGGCAAAGAAATCACAAAAATACAGGTTGAGGAGAGTAAAAACCCTTGAAAATGATGAATACAATGGATGACCCCATAGGTGGATTTAATTCTGATACTGTTAACATTTTTAAATTTCAGTAGAAAGTAATACAATAAGTAATTAGCGAAGCTACATCAACCTGAAGCCCACAAAAAAATACGGAATCAAAAGGGGACCTAGAAAAATTATTTCTTTTTCTAAAGGGGATTTTTGATATGTCATTAGTAATAGAATCAACTTTAAAATCGTTTTTTTTGTTGGCGCTATACGATCTTTACAGTAGCTTACACTTACTTCACGCTGCTAAAGGGTTGCTGTAAAATTGTAATGGGTAAAATTGTAATGGCCTATAACTCCATAAAAAATCCCCTCTAGAAAAAAAAATCATCTTTCTGGGTCCCATTTAGATAATGTGGCAAGCTAACTTGATCAAATTCCTTTATTACTGAACTTTTCTGATGTGATTGCCTTGTCCCTAGCAAGTAATAATTTACATTCACTATTACTCTACCTTTCTGATGCGATTGCCTTGTCCCTAGCAGCTAGTAATTTAGACTCCTTGTCATCAAAATTCTGTTTCACTTGTCGTACTTGTGTTTCCAACTGGGAAATGATTTCACCTTTATCTTTCCATCTTCTGTCAAGATTACTAGTGAGGAAAAAAAGCAGAATATGTCAGTTTAATATTCAAGTTTCTATTTGTACGGTATATGTTACTGTACAAATTAGGAGCGGTTTGGCACAGTGGTTACGGTTCTGCTTCTTAACCTTGAGGTCAAAGGTTAAATCACTCACTGTGTATTTCGCTTGTGTCCTTAGGCATGGCACTTTACCTACAGTTGTCTCTACCCAAGAGTACAAATGGGTGGCTGGTAGGTTTAAACACAAGCTGTTTACAGCTGCAACATTATGGAATTCTCCCAGGGACCTGAGTATGCGTTCCATACAGTATTTGCTTGATCCAGTGACTGCTGGTAATGATGTAAAGCACTATATAAGTCGACTATTATTATTGTAGCCATCAAGGTATAATATCCATAAGAGTACAATAACAATGTTTACATACAAGAAAAAGTAGTAATGAATTATTCATAGAAAGACAAGTACAAGTAACATACATGAAGGTAGCAGTGGACCAAGGTTTCTAATGCCATAATGCTAGGATTTTCTATAAATGATTATTAAACTTGAATAATAAATACAAACACAAGCTTTCTAAAAAAAAAAAAAAAAACATTTTCCAATTTACAAAAGCCCTGTCCAGACTATTAAATCAGAAAACTGTTGTATGCCCAAATAGAGTCATGATGTGCCTATATATGGTCATGATGTGATGTCATCATGACCATATTTAGGCATGTCACATGTTAACTTACTCATATGCTCTTTTACTCTCGTCCAGATCAGTCTGCAGCTCTGCAACTTTGTTCTTCAGCATTTCTTTCCGCTCTGTCAACCTCTCCACCATATCCTGGAGATCTTGAGTATTGGCAGACTCTTCTTCCAAGCGTTTCTCTAGTGTCTGCTGCATCTTCAGTGCCTCGTTCCTAGCAGCTCTGATCTCTTCGTCTCTCTCTACAAGACCCTGAGGTATGAAATGACCAATCAGATATTTATATCTCCATGGGTTCTTTTTCATGTCCAAAGATTATTAACCATCAGATCAGGGGTGGCGATAGGGGGAATGGGGGATGTCCCTTACGAGAACAAAGTGGCATGGTCCAAGGGGCAAAACCCAGAAAACTATGACACTTTAGGGGTTTCAAAGATTATTTTAATCAATTTTATAGTCTACTAATATGTAGAAAATACATATCATTTTTTTCCCCGATGAATTGTGGTTGTGGCCCTGGCCTTCCTACAAACAAATCTTGCTACCAAAATGTTTGGATCACTAAATCATTTTTTTAAGTAATGAGAACTGACAGACTAAATATAGTCCTAAATAATAATGTCCTTTACAACATTAAAATCTGGCAAGTTCTCTTACTGCACTTACAAATTTCCTTCAACTCACATGATACCTGGAAGCGAATATTTATGGCTTGAGACCAACAGAATAAATATTTTAAAAAGCAGACAGTGCAACTGGATTCATGGGGACTCAATAACCTTTTGATTTTCCACTCTATACAGTATCTACTTTTCAATTAAAGATATGCATTATAGGAAAAAGACAGGATGACCTAATTTCCTGTCTCTGGCATCAAGACAGATCCATCTTGCAGAACAAAATAATTTAATTTCATGCACAATTGCTCACTGAGACAAAGCAAATTAATTTGAATTTTAAAAAAGTATGTACATAAAATATGTTTTTATACTTTTAAATCTTTTATATTATTAATATTAAACAATAACATGATGATGAATAAAAAGGGTAGCCGCATTAGACAGCTATAGAACAGTACAAGAAATGACAACAGCACTTTTAAGACTAACTTGTAAAAAAATTTATTCTCAATAAAGAAAAATAAGAGAATAAATTGTATACAAATTAGTTTTAAAATTGCTGTTTTCATTTCTAATCATTACTGTATAGATAATTATGTGTATATATTTTGATTTGGCATTATTATTATTATTTTATTTAAACATCTGTTAATTGCTGAGAATTTTTTTCTCATTCTAATTGTTAGTTGAAAGACTATATAAAGTATGAAATTTATTGATTTAGATATTTTTATTTTTGATTTCCATGAGAGTAGAAATGTAAATACTCATTTTTTATATATTAAAATTCTTAAATATTATAAATATCCCAATTCTAAACATTTGTTATTTGTTAGGCTCTCTTTTTTTTAACCACTCAATTTATGTTTTATTGTATTTTAACAGTTGGGGTTTTTTGCAGAATTAAATCCTGTAAGCCCCTATTGTAATTTTTTATCGGTAAAATTTCTAAATATTTTATTAATCTTTTTATAGGCTATTTAATTTGTTAAACATTTCATTTTGCCCCTGAGATGTTTTGTAATTTTATTGTTCGTTCGTTTGGTCAGTGGGTTTAGATGATACCCAGCCCATGGTGTCCTCTTGGCACCCCTCCGACCATTTCCTGATTTGTGATTTTTGTGCAGAATATGTAATAAATAAATAAAATAAATTATGTTGTCATACATCTTTAAGTTTCCTGATTGTTTCTGTCTGATCATCCAATATCTTTGTCTTGATCTTCAGTGCGTCGTTGTCTCTCTCCGATTGTTTTTTTAATGAGGCTACCTCAGCTTCACAGGAGTTGATCTGCGCCTCAAGTCGTCCTCTATCTTGAGCTAAGGAAGCACCTACGATAAAAATGAATTTGAGTAAATATGTGGCCTGGTAGGTAAGGTGCTCGCCTTCCAGTCATAAGATCCTGGTTCAAATCCTGACAAAATCGATATGATTTTTCTTGCTATAATTGAGTACATGTCCGACAAATGGCATTTATTGATTTATTCAGATTATTTTAATATTCCAGAAAAATACAATTATAATTTGTTATATTTTATTTATATATTGCCTTTCCTTTAGGTTAAAAAAGTGCTTTGTTTTCTCTTGTCATTGGGGACACATGTTTAAGTATTGTTGTCATATTTGTGCAGTATCAGACAAACTTATTTATACTCCTGGGTGGAGAGGAGCAACGCAGATTAAGCGTTTTGCTCAAGGGACAGATGCGAAATGCACAGCAAAGGATTGAAGGACCAACCTCGAGGCTGGGAAACTCAAAGATGCCAGCTGTGCCAAACCGCTTCCATAATTATATAATTAACAGCTCTATGGATTTGTTCTTGTTCAAATTGTGTTCTAAATTGATCCAAAGACTTGTCATCGCTGTTAAAATTCATTGTCTCCCCATATCTGTCTGTACAAGATGAACTGGTTTATTTATTAGATCATCATGTTACTATTTTGAATGAACTTGCTGAGTGAATGACGTGTCGTAAGATAAATTAATGCAGGGTCTTTAGTGATAGACTTAATAGCGTGCATGCTAATATTATTAGCATTATTTGTTAACAAAGCAAGCCCAATGACACATTGTGAACTGGGCTCTTTGGCAGGGGGCAGCATTAAATCTTTAACAATTCCCTAGTGAAACATCCAAGGAAGTTACAGGGCTTTAGTGATTTACTGCCCTAATATTATTGGTTTTTGAGGACTTTCTTTATTTAAATCAGATGTGAAATAATTTTACTCCTCTGTTGGAATATCTATGGCAATTTTTTAAATGATCCAGGGCCTTTGTAAAAGCCTTAGAAAAAGGTCATGTTATGTATCTGGTTACAACGATGTTGAAAGGCCCACTATTATACCAGGCATTGCTTTGCTGAAAGAGGACATAATCACTTTTGGTTTGGAAATAAATAATTAAAATTATTTAATCAATTTAAAGGCTATAAATATCAAAATGAGGCTTAGTGAGCAGCTTGTGGTTTTATCGTTTAAATTTTCAAGATAACACCACTACCCCAAATGATTTTGTTTTTGAAATCATAGATTGTCTACTGATTAGCACATGTGATAACGGGGTACAGTAGAACACATTCAGAGCCTATTTGCCAGCATGGTTGGAGTTTCTCCATGCCTACCCTTCTCATTAACAATTATAATACAGTATTACCTTGTTGAGCTAGTTCATGTCCCCACAATTTCCTTTCTGCCTTCAGGCCTTCAATGACAGACTCTTGAGCAGTCAGTTGTGTCTGTAACTTGCCTCGGTCTTGCTTCAACAATTCAAACTGTACCTGACGTCGCCTTCCTTCCTCTACTTGAACTTCCAGGCTCTGGATTCTGGCCTAGGTATAAATATAAATATCATCAAGCTTACAAATTCATACTATATTACTGTCACTTTTAGTTTCACTATTTATTATATCATTCAAATACATAGCATAATACTTTAAAATTAAAAGACAGGGACAATAAAAGTTGTGTAATTTTACTTGGTTATACTACTTAATCTGTATTTTCTGACAGACAATTATTATGAATATAATGTTTACTTGGGATGAATAACTATACGTTTAAATTGTTATTGAAGATTTTACCTTGTAATCGGACAAAACTTCATGTTTTGATTTAGACAGCTCAGTAATTCTACCCTTTTGTTCCTTTACCATCTAGAGAGAAGTAGTCAAGTAATTAGCACACTGATATGATTTCTTCAGCATAAAGGACCACCCACACAAGTTTAAAGACTTATTTACAGTGTGGTGTTCTATTTTGTAGTGAATTGGATATTAAACTGGGAGACAAGCTCCTCTCCTTTCTGGAGACTGCACTGCATTCCCTAATGTGCATATTGCACCATATTATTATCAGCATCGTCATCATCAAGGTTATATTGCAACCAACAATAATGTATGATTTTCTTTTTATGTATGACCAAGACAATTAATTTTTTCCAATAATTATGATATAAACAGTGGAGTCTCACCGCTGTAAGTTCAGTGACCAGACCTGAGGCTTTCCTCTCCTTTTCAGTTGCAGTGAACAGGCCCTGGCGCATCTGACTTGATTCCTGAGACAGTTTCTCAAATGCAACTTGTAGCTGTTTCATAAAAAATGCTATAATTTAATTCACTTGATAAGGCTGAGCAAATCATACAAGTCTTGTGTTTACAGTACTTCCAATTTCTGATAAGCTTATCAAACAGGATTCATTTATTTTTTTTACTAGGACAACTAATCTAAACAAATGATTGCTAACCTCATTAAATCGTTCTGCTTCAATCTGGAGAGCCATTCTGAACTCATTCTCTAGATCTGAATACTGTTTTGATAGGCACTCAATCCTAGTTTAAATAAAACAAAATATAAATATCAGTAATAAATATGTGGAATATATAACACTTGAAGGTGTTCTATGAGACCATTAAGTTAATGGAGGGTCATAGTGGACATATAGCTCTTAATATGGAATGGTAGCGCTGGGAAAAAAACAGATACAATCACAGTGCCTTGCACAATTTCACTGATACTATGAATAGATAACACTGGTTTTAAAACCACTGTTACCACTTAAAACCATAATGTATGAATATATATTTAATATTTAATTAACTTACTTTTGTTTGTAAAGTTCCTGTTCATGTTGATGTCTTTCTTTCTCAGATGCCACAGCTTTTGACACAGTGTCCTTGACCTCTGAACTCTCCATACTGTGGCGGTTCTGAAGACTCTCTCTGCAAGAGAGTAATGAGGAGAAATGCTTTTAAATATATTACCTATTATTTTAACAGGATAAATTATGTAAAGATATATTATAACAAGATTTCTCCTTTCACACAAAAGGTGAGATGGTTCCTTTTCTGCCTGAGGGGGTTTTTATAACTCAACACTACCTGGTTGAGGGCGCTATCATTAATGTTGCTTTCCTGCTTAAAGATGCTAAAATTCCCCCTTGGAAACCTTACCTGTGTTCTTGTTCCCTGATAGCAAGCAATTCTTGCAGCTGTCGGACCTTGCCTTCATGTTGCTTGGCCTGGTTCCGGACAAGATCCAGCTCCCGTGCCGTAGCTGCCGCCCTCATCTGGTACTCTTGCGTTCGCTTCGCCTGTCATCACAGAGATATACTTGTTCAATTTTCTATACTGACACTTTGACAAATTTGTCGCATAGTCTAACAAGGGCAGAGATTATCAGTCTATCTACACAATATAGAGAGTATTTACTGCTGAAATACTATTATTTTACTAGAATCCAGGTGAGACTAGCCACTGGATAGTCATTTGCCTCAAACTTACACTGACTGAGGCAAATGACCATGTCAGTCTCGGTTTGAGCTACTGACCTCATGAGCTTGTTGTTGGAGTCGTTCTCTTTCTGCTTTTGTTGCTGTAGCCTCCATTGCTTTCAGAGCACTCCTTCCTTCTGCTTCTTCCTTTTCACTTGATTCTAACTTCCTCATTAATTCTTCAACTTTATCCTGAAAACCAAAGAAATAATTGCAGATATTTTTGAAGACCGAGGTTACTTTTCCATGGTGGTTACAGCATAGAAGTAACCAGTACAGAGAGTTTAGAGGTATAGATTAATCAGACAGGCAATATAGTTACCCTGAGTTCTGCAAGAGCTACCTCCTGTTTGTTCTTAACTTCCTTTTCATTCATTAAGGCATGCTTCAGCCTTGTGGTTGCTTCGATGGCAACATCTTGCACCTCATGTTCATCTTTCACTAACAAGTAACAAAAAGAAAAGAGATATGAATAATGAACAACATCATTAAAGAACTAAGTGGCAGTTACTACAAAAGAAGGCAGAAGACATCATCGGAATCTGGAAAACGTCAGATAAATGGGCAGTAGTTAGTACACCATGAAAGATTTTGAAGTAGAAATATATAGATCCTGGAATAAAGGGAAGTAGGTGGCAATTCATTAAAAACATTAAAGTAAAAAAAATCTAGATGCTGAGCAATAGCATTATGGAAGTGGACAGCAGAAATTAATTGCCTGCCAGAAGAACACTGTGATGGATAAAGATTTCTATAAAACAAAATGACTTACACTTGGTCTGAAGCTCTTGAATACGCTCAGCTAGCCTCCTTGCAGCCTGCTCTGCTTTCCATCTTCTCTCCCTTTCTACATCCAGCTCCTGCATCAACGCCAGTTTGTCTAAATCTTGTTTTGCAGTTGTTGGCACAACTCTGCTTGGAAAATTCTGAGGGCGAGAGTCACTTCCTGGTGAGCTGCTAGAAGGTTGTGACTTTGGTTTTTTAACAGGTCGTGAACTTGCAACACTACAATCATCAAATTCAGAAAAAAAAATGGTATTGGTCCTTCTGCAAATTTAAACAATTGTGTACACTTATCAAATAACTGTCCCATTTATAGTTAAAGATACTCTCACCTAGGTTCAGTTTGTTTTCCAGCCTTTCTTTGTCGCTGTGTGGGTTGTTTGCCTGATAAAGCTTCCCTGGGTTGTTTGCCTGTAGTAGCAGTTCTAGCTGGCTTCTTCTTGGCTTGTGTTTTATGGCCTGATTCACTTTCACTAGCTTCACTCTCTATTCAAACACAAAAAGTAAATGAAGAGATACTAACATATTATTTTTGTAATACAAGTTAAATCTAATTTGCTTACTCCAAATGATATAGACAGTTTTGAGGAATATATTTGACCACTTTAAAAAATCCTGAAAATCAAAACACAGATCAAAACACTAATTTTTCAAAAATGTATTATTAGTTTGAATAAGTATCTTTTTGTTTTATCTGAAGTTAATAAGCAATGGTCTATTGACATGTTGTTGCATATTGAAGATTAGGTCTTGATTCTTCATTGTTTTGCAAAATTTTAAAAATTTAAGTCAACATGGGGTGGTGATGCTTCAATCTGTTTGTTTTATCTTTTCTAATTATTGATCTGAAATGTGCATAGAAAGTCATCGGATAATGCACTGAATATAAAGCAAATCAAATTTTAATATTACTGTTAGAATTCATATTGTTTATACTATTTTTTAGAAAAACCATTTTTTCATCGTATCACTTATACTTACTTGAGGTGCACTTACCAGCTTGCTTTCCTAGGCCTCTTGGACAGCTTGGTTTTCGTTGCTTCTTAACCTCACTCGGTGTAGATGTACCTGTATAGCTTGTTGAGGACTTAGCCTGAATAAACATAATAATCATCATTTATTTTGTTGTTACTATTGATAAAATAACAAATTTTAAAAAAAATTATTAAAAAATAAAAATATAAACTAAAATAAACCTATATACATTCTAAAATTGAGTAATGTAATAACATTTCTTCATTAAAATAAAGAGAAAAGATATTTGAAATTGTGAAGTTAAAAGAATGCATGAAAAAGAATTGATGCTACTGTGATTCATTCATGGCTATGATTACTGTTCTCCACAAGCGAGGGAGGTTGCCTGTTACCTGACTCCTCGTCCGTTCTTCCACCATAAATGCTAACTGCTGCTCTAGATTCTCTATACGTTTTTCATGAGTAGATTGTGCATTCGACTTTATCATGGACACATGTATTTCAGTCTGAAAATAAAAACACAAGTATTAAGATCAAAATTAATGTTTCATATCACACTATATAAATTATTTCACCATTTCAAGTTTATAAAAAATTAACATAAAGTACAAAAATATAAAATGAGTCAGCAATACTTGGTGTGATTGCTCAGAAAAGGGCAATGCGCATCTGTCTGGGAGCTCTCCAGAACCAACCAAGAAACAGATTTAACCAAAATATTAAATTATTATTTGCAAAGTCAATTTAAAAATCAAATTCAAACTTTTACTGTATAATAAATCCTGCAATATTAATGATATGCATAATGATAATAATAATAACAATAATAATGAAGTGATAACAGAAACAACAAAGAGTTATAGGCCTAGTTGTAGAAGCATAAATAATAATAATAATTATAATATTTAAAAAAAATTTTAATTAAAATTACAAGCAATCACACAAATCAAAAGTGATGTTGTTGGTCTATGAGTGAGATAATTACCTGGATGAACCAATATATGCCAATTTTCTTTTAGGAACTTACCTCGAAAATAATGGAATACTGTAGTTCGACCCAGGTGTTTATATGAGTGAGATAATTACCTGGATGAACCAATGCCAATTTCCTTTTAGGAACTTACTTTAAAAATAATGGAACAGGCCTCAATTTTCCTTTTGCTGTGAGCGAGTATATACTTACCATAAAGAGCCTAGCTTGAAAGCTGCATACAATATATATGGTTCAAGGTAAGTATTCAAATAGACAACAACATCAATACACTCACATCTTTCTTCCTTGTGGTTGGTCTTAAGACCCCAGCCTCAATCTCTGAAGTGTCTGCTGGCTCTGCACTTGATCCATCTGCTGTGGACAGAGCCCGAGAGCGGAAGCGCTCCAGCGCTTCATCAATCTTTGGTGTGATTAACTGGAATGGGGTTTCTTGACTGCTACTGTTAGACTGGTTAGAAACAAGGTATTCTAAATAATCTTCAAGTCCTACCAATAGATAGAAAGGAAATGATGCCACAAGGAAATATTAGTCTTTATAACTTTGTCCTTCTTTATACTGGACATCCTGTTCAGTGGATATCTACTGTTCTCCCACAGGCCTCTGTTATGCTTTAATAACTAAGTCTTGTATCGAGGCTTAGGGAGTGGCGTTGTTTTAGGTGTGAGGAAAAAAAATCCTACTGTCAGAGGAATTGAACCCAGGACTGGGATTGGAAGGCAAGCATCTTAACCACCAAGCTATTCAATTTCACTCCAGTGAACCAATTCAGACCAAGTCATCCTAACATGTATACCACCATGTTTACATAACTTTTACTTTCAAAAAGACTACATAGTGAGCTGTCTTTGCAATGTTAGTTGTACTTTAGAAGACAAAGTGCCAGTAATTAGGCCTAATGTAAATACTGCAATGCAAACCTGGTATGTCTGCTAAGCCATCATGCTTTGGTACTGCTTTACCAGTCCTGTCATATCCATCTAAGACTTGCAGCTGGGGAAGAGTGTTCAGCAGTCCAGTTTGGTAGCCTAGCATTATAAAATAGAAATAATGATGTCAATGATCCATGCCATTACCAAAACAAAAGCAGAGTTTAGTGGTGAATGGCCTGAAAAAACAAAAGGGTAATTTTGGGCTGTGTTTATGCTGTTCTTAGATGTTTTAGATCATACTGTATTGAAATGGCAAAATATATTTGTTAAGCACTGACTAACAAAATTTTATTTGACAAAAACATGTGACATACCTAATTATGGTCATGATGACATCACATCATGACCATATATACAGGTAGGCACATCATGACTATATCTGGACATACAACAGTTTTTTGTCAAAGAAAATTTGATAGTGTGGAAAGAGCTTTAAAGACTTTGGTCAAATTAGTGATGGCCAACAGTGAGGTTAGCTTTGCCACTAATTGGAGAAGATATTGATTCTTATGTACCTGGCTGGTTGCAAACAGGGTTACCTCCATTAGGCTCTGACAAGCTTAGATGAGTCAGCTTCTGTATACCATTAAGACAGGTTACAACATGGCTAAAATTATCTAATTGATTTCCCTGTAATTCAAGAGTCTTCAAACAGTAGCTTGGGCCTTGGAGATCCATAAGGCCCGAGATGTCATTCACTTGGTTGTATGATAAGTTCAGTTTCGTCAGGCTTCTGTTAGCAAGAAATTAAAAATTTTTTTTTTAATGTAATTTCGCTTTTTGTTAGTTGAATGCTTTTTTGGAGGTTTTTTGCTGTACATATTAATGATTAGTTATTGTAATTTTACACTACACTGAAGAAAATTAATAAATAACTTATGACAATTTTAATAGCACAAGACATCGGTTTTTGCCTCTTTTTCTTTAAGTACACTTTTTTTTGCATGTTTTTTAAATGAATTTTTAGTTCCTTTTTTTAGGTGTCATCTGTTTTGTGTATATTGGGATACCTCTGGAAATAAATCCTTACATGGATTTGGAGGGTTAACCCCGATATCAACATTGATGACCTGCTTTGTTAATTTTGTTTCATTGTATTCAGTTGTTCCGGTTTTGTAATATTATTAAGTTGATATCAAAGAAATCAAATCAAATCAAATACATAGCATGAAATTAGTTCCTAAAAAGTTCTTTTGTTTACATTTCTACGCATAAAACAAATATTGTACAGAACCTTAAATTCCTAAGACCTTTGATTTGTTGGATGACATTACAAGCAAGATTCAAAGTCCTGAGTGACACTAGTGCTCCCAGACCCTGCATCACTACAATCTGATTGGATGACAGATCCAAGTGCTTTAGAAACTTCAGGTGCTGAAGATTTTCAATAATGGAAATTTTGTTACAGTGGAGGTTCAGAGTTTGTATATGCCCCACTAATGGAAGATCTTGTAGGCTTGATATGTCACTGTCTATGAGACATATTTCATGTGCCTTGTCTGGTTCCATGAGGAGATCGTGCGACATGCCTGTTAACTTCACACGGAAATTCCCTGGTTCAGCTGGCATACTTCTTGCTCAAATCCAAACTTAAAAAAAGAATGAAAGTTAATTTTAAATTAAGCCTTACTACTATTATACAGTCTCGTTGGAAGGTCTAGCCTAGTTGAGGGTATTTTAGTCTAGGCCTACATACAGGTAACAGGCCTAGGCAATGCCCAGGATCTCACCCGTAACTCATCATACATCACTCTAAATAAGTGGTGCAAGAGGCTGGTAGGCCAGTGGTGGCCCTCTGGTAGCCCCTCTTGTCTTCTCAAACTGTCGTTTAAAATCTGATACTGTACTAGCTTCAACCGTACTGGCAGGGAGAGTGTTCCATGTATTAATAATACGTTGAGTAAAAAATACTTTCTGCAATTGAATTGCACATATGACTTTTTCAGTTTGTGCTTATGACCCTTAGTCACTAGTGGCACTAAATTCTGATTTAAATACTGAAAAATAATTCACTATCAATATTTTCTTTATTTGTTAGAATTGTATATGTTTCAACTATATACCCTTTAGGTCGCCTATCTTCCGATGACGTCAATTTAGAAGCACGTAATCTTACCTCATAAGACTTGCCATGCAAACTAGGTAGTAATCTGGTTGCACGTCTTATCTATTAAAATAAATCTTTTTTTTTTAAATATGGAGACCAGGACTGAATTGCAAATTCGAGGTGGGGTCGTACTAAACTAATATAGAGTGATCTAATCATAGAAACAGACTTATATTTTATAGACTTTTAAATAGTACTAAGAACTGTATTAGCAGTCTTAACAGCAGCAACGGGTGCCGCAGCAACACACTGATTATCTATGATCACCCCCAAATCATTCTGATTCGCAACCTCTTCCAAGACAGTGCCATCCAGTTCGTAAGAATACTCTAAAAAATTGTTATAACCAAAATGCATGAGCTTGCATTTGCTAACATTGAAACACACTAACCAATCATGACACAAATTAAACAACTTACAGTATTATTAATGTCACGTACTCTGCAAAATTTCGAAATCGTCCTTTGACTTCACCTGTCTATAACTTAATGGCATCAGCAATTTTAGTAAAGATGAATCTGCCGCCAGGCCCTAGAACCCCTAGAATAGTATTAGGCTGGTATTAAGGGCCTGGCCTAGCTTAGCAATAGTAGGTAGGAGTAGGCGCCTCTAGACCTAGGCTAGGTAGCAGTGAGCGTGGTGGTAGGCTAGGAAGGAGGGCCTTCTCTTGCCTGCTAGGCTAGGCTAGGACTCCTAGGAGACTAGACTATTAGGCCTAGCCGAGCCGAGGCCTAGTGCCACTCTATCTAGCTAGGCGAAGCCTAATATAAGCTAGACTGGCCCATTAAAGCCTATGACTACACTAACTTACTTAAAACAATCTGATCCTTCTTGTTTCTCACAAAAGTACATGAATCAAATAGCCTACCTATACTACTTACCATACGTCCAGTTTGTTATTTTGTTTTCCGCGGTATCTACATAGCGCCACCACACCACAAAACAACAACAGGGTCAAAGGTGATAGGTGAGTAAACCATGGAAAAAAGGACCTTGATATTTTGAGGAATGTTGTTATCTTTACTTCAATTATTATAGGCTTATAATAGGAAAAATCAAGTGCATATTCATGTTTATCGAGGTTTAATTATTTATGTAACATACAGCCATGACATCTTTCAGCTCAAAGTCGCATCAAATTTGCCTTCGATTTGCAAAGTTACTTCAATCGAAGTCGAAAAGTTTCTTCGGGGCAGCAGATGGTCTATCATCACGTACAAAATCTAACTTTGCCTGCTTGGCTGTTTGGCCTAAGAGGCTATCTGTACCGGTAGTGGCCGTTGCAAGAAGTAGGCCTAGGCTCAGGCCTAATGTTAATGTTCCCCAAAGGAGTATCAACACATTGCCTTCAAATTTTGTATTTCGGCAGGTATGTCACTAATATTAATAACAATAAATAATGAATAATATTTACATACATATATAAAATAAAATACGCGGCGCTAATGCACTTTAGTACTCCACCCTACCCTAATCTAAACCCTAACCTTAATTAACAATAACATAGCAAGACTGCAGTAAAGGTTAGGGTGGAGTACTAAAGTAAAGTGCATTTAGCGCCACATCCGTCGTGGCTAGGGATACGGTACCGTAGTAGGCCCTACTAGCCCCCAGGCCTATTTCTTATCTTCCCTTTGATAAAGGTATGTAGGCCTATGATGAGGCTGCTTTGGACATGGTGAATTGCAACATACAGTAAAATTCTGCCAACAACGGTGTGAGTCATTGTTCATAAAGTCTAAAGTGAAATCGCTTGCTGAATGCAGAGAAAGTTGGTGAAGTAACACTAATAGTAGGCCCCTACTTTCATCTACTGTACCTTGCTTGAATATGAATTACAGGTAATCCTATTATGGCACTAACAATGTACCCAGTGTCGCAGTCTTACATTTAATTGTTGTTGCAATGTTATTCATAACAATGTAATTATTGAGTACATAACTAATAGAGTATTATTTATAGTATACTTTCACATAATACTCAATAATAGGCCTACTGGTAGGTCAGGTAACTATATCAGCAAAAATTTAAAATTAATTATATACCATTCTTTCTTATACGAAAGCTAACACATTGTTATTGTATCGTTGGCCAAAATGCCTCCTAAAAATGCAACCAGGGAACGGTTAAATTACAAACAAGAAATGTATAATATTTTGTAATTTTATTGTATAAATGATTTACTCAATCAGTTATTACGGTACATATTTAAGCTTTAAAACTACTTAAAATTATATAAATCCGTATATATATCCATGGTATTAGCACAATTGCGCATCTCATTTGAGTTCATCATTAGCACTAAAGAAATACATTGAATGTAAAATAAGGCTAATTCTCTGTGATGCCTCATGCCATTTTGCAATCTCAACAATACTGTTAAATAGTGCCACTGGATTGCCAATGTTGTCTCCAATCAAGTATTTTTAGGTGTGTTTTGACTTGACATAGCCTAAATCAGTGTATGGAAACATTTTCATCTTTGTGTCACATACAAATTGATAGGAATATTAACAAAGAACTTTAACTTTTTTATTTTTTTATTAATTATGATTGATTTTTTATCCTATGCTTTATTAAATGCAATAGATTAGCCTAGTTTTTTTAATTGTCCAGAGTCTCCAATAGTGGATCCACCTATATTTGTAATTCCGTAATTTATTTTCATCAATTATATATTTATCAAATCTTATTTTGTTAAGTTCTACATAACGACATGCAATGTATTACCTTCATCATTTTCTAATTTTATTTGTACTTTTTGGCGTTGATTTAGAGAGTTTTAGATTTATATATATTACATTAATATACATTTTTCATAAATAAAACAACATTTATTATATAAAATATGGTATTTAAATACACTATGAAAATTTATAAACAAAAACAAAATAATATTTGGAAGTTTCACCTTACCAACCAGTGTTGGCAATAAGTGGGAAGGAGAATATATTAAATTAAGTCGGAGGAAATCTTGCTTAAAAACTTTTTATAGATTCATTTTCTGCTGGTGTTAAACTCTGTATACAAACAAACATTGCTTAGAGGTTTTCTGTTTATATTGATGTAGAAATGCCACTCTCAGATTTTTTTTTTTTTGCAATTTATTTTTCTAAATTTAGGCCCTAATGAAATTGATATAAATTCTAAATTTAATTATTCTACGTTTTCATAAAATCATGCGTAGCATTAATGCTACATGCTATGGATAGGGGCCCAAATTATGGCAAAATAAACATACTGTAATTAGGCCTATGCTACAAATGGCCACTATGCTTTATGTGGTTAGTGTGCTCACGGTGTGCGATTTTTGAATGATGTCATCACGTTGGTGGCAGCATTTTATTGGATAATGCAATTTACTGTACCTTTAAATACAAAAAAGAAATGCAAAAAAAACCAAACAAACAAACAAACAAACTATTTATAGAAATGTGTAGGCCTATATATAAATAAGGAAAAGATAAAGGCCCAGGGGGTGTTAACGTTGTCTCTCACTACCAAATCCCAAATATATTCAATGATGTTAATGTTCTAAGGCCCTTTAATGTTTTTGATTTGATCTTTTTTATCAGTTATTTGATCATCAATCATTCACCCTAACTTACCTGCTTGGTGATAAAGTATCTGGTGAAGCTATTTTGATTGACCCTGTTTTGGAGTTGGTTAATCGTGATGTCAATTTAATGGAGGACCTAGGATTAAAACTTTTATATGCAGGTGATTTGACTAACATAATTAGCTTTATTAATTATTATTTTGCTGGTAGTATGTTTATGTTTTGTTTATTTTTTTTTAAAATTATTATTCAATTATAGATTTTTGTATTATATTTTATTATGATATATTTTTGTCATATTTTTTTCATTGTTTTAAATATGAATACTTTTAACATATTCATGTTATTTGAAACATGTATATTAATAATAGTAATAATAATAATAATAAAAATAATAATAATAAATTATTATTATTATTATTGTGACCTTATATAGTGCATAATGTAAAATACCTCTGTGCGCTTTACAGTAGGGAGTGGGACCTAATTAACAAAAGATATACTGTAAATTTTATTAACTGGATTTATTTTAAGTTTGAAAAATACAGTATTTTAATTTTCTTTGATCTGCTTAATTAATTGTTAAATACTTATTTACCTTATACTTATGTTTCACAATTGAAACAAATAAATATTTATGTATTTCATCTGAATGATATCAGCTAAATATATTTTTATATTTACCATTGTTTATTTATTTATTTTTTTCTCTTATTTTCAGCAAACACACATTGTCATGCTGATCACATAACAGGAACTGGTGAATTAAAGAAGCGTATCCCATCATGTCGCAGTGTTATCAGTAAAGCTAGTGGGGCACAGGCTGATGTGCATTTAGAAGAAGGGGACAGGATATGTTTTGGTGAATGGGTAAAAATATTAATTTGTATAGAGTACTACAGTGTTACGTCACGATACCACGTGACACTACTCCGTTGCTTCATTGCAAAACCTGATGCCATTTTCGCCACTAAAAAAAAATTGATCCCAATTTCTAACGTAATTATTAAGATGTTGTATCTTACTTTTTCTTTGTAAATTTTAATTGATGATTAAATGTGTGTTCGATAACTAATATAATGCGAACTTTTGTGTTTTTAGTACATTTCGATGGTAAAATATTAGATTTTAACATGCCTATTCCAAAAAGCCTATTCAGTCATTCAGGCGTAATGAGCGGTATCCTACGTCTGTTGACAACAGAGAGCGCCACCTGGCGTTGTGACAACACAACTGTGGTACTCTATATAAAGTATATTTTAAAGCAATAAAAATTACATCTGGATTATGTTACAAACTTACAGTATATACAGTACCATAAACAAGGGTGGATCCCGAGATGTCTAAAAGTCACAACCCTAAATTTTTGTTTTCTAGATGCCCGAAAATGACCTCAGAGTTGTTTTGAGCTATCAATTATTTCTTTCTTTTCTTTCTTTTTTTTTTACTTTCCTAAAAGGGGTTGGGG